TTACTTGCTCACATAGTCGTGGTGTAGCACAACTTTAAAAACCAGGAAGTTCACATCTTATTGAATATGACTTGATGTATTAATATGATAAATTGTTCTTGTGTAAGCGCAAACATGTTTTTCTGTATTTGATGGGTAGTGTTGGGTAGATATGGATAGATAGATAAATATGTAAATAGATACTTAAGTAGATAAAAAGATAGATAACCAGATAGATTGACTGACACAAAACAAGAAATTTGTATATCTATCTGTCTATCTATCTATCTATCTATCTATCTTTAGAGAGAGTGATATATATATATATATATATATATATATATATATATATATATATATATATATATATATATATGTGTGTGTGTGTGTGTGTGTGTGTGTGTGTGTGTGTGTGTGTGTGTGTGGGTGTGGGTGTGTGGGTGTATGTATGTATATGGGAACGACATAAAAAGAGATTACAAACCGGCAAGATGGACACAAACAAAAAGCTACGAACAAGAGGCAAGCAGTCACCCCCTCCCCCTCATCCTTCATCCCTCTTCCCTTCCCAACCCCCCCTTCCTACCCTTCCTCCCCCTCCTTCACCTTCGACCCTCTCTCCTTACCCCTCCTTTCCCCTAACCCCCCTTCCACCCCCCTCCCATGGCCTTACCCTGGACTGTGAGAGTGATGGGTCTGGACAGCTTGGGTCGAGTGTTGACCTGGCACTCGTACACGCCGGTGTCATTCCGAAGTGCCACAGCGACGTGTAGTGTGAAGGACGATGTGGCGTTGTCGATCACCACCTGTAAAGAGGAGAGATTCAGCTCCTTTGAATGGGGTTGTTATCGGGGGTGATGCGTGTAATTGGGTGAGTGGAGGTGAAGGCGAGGGGAAACCGGGGTGTTTTTGAGGCGGGGTGGTGTGTGTGTGTGTGTGGTGGGGGGGGGGTGATGGGGGGGTGAGTGAGAGGGGGAATACGCAGATAAGCATTTGGGGGTAAATTTTGTTTGGTATTATCTCTCTTGTTAATTTTCTTTCTCTCTCTCTTTCTTTCTTTCTCTCCATCTCTCTCTCTGTCTCTGTCTCTGTCTCTCTCTCTTTCTCTCTCCCCCTCTTTCTCTTTCTCTTCCTCTATCCATCCGGTTTGTGTGTCTGTCTGTCTGCCTTTCGCTCTTTCTTCCTATCCAAATTATTACTCATTCTGTCTGTCTGTCTGTTCGTCCCTCTTCCTCTCCCTCTCCCTTTCACTCTTTCTCTTACTTACCCTTTCACTCTTCCTCTTACTCTCCCTCTCCATCTTCACTTCCCTCTTCTCCTCTCTCTCTTTCTCTCCCTTCCTCTCCAACTGCGTCTCCCTCACTCTCTCTTCCTCCCTCTCATTTCCTTTCTCTCTCTTTCCCTCTCTCATCCTTTACCGAATTTCGACGCACAGTTCTTACACAAACACACTCCCCCCCCCTAAAAAAAAAAGACTCAAAGAGCGAGAAAAAATGAAAAGAAAAACGAAAACAACAGAACTCTTGAATGATTATCTCCTCATTTCAGTAAAAGGCGGCAGAACGAAGATTGAAGACACTGAAAGGGAAGAGCAGATGAAAGACGGAAGAGAACCGATGAAAAAGGGAGACAGAGAGAGAGAGAGAAAAAAAGGAAACGAGCACGAAGGCCCAAAAGATCGTCGCACAAAACGTATACGAACAAAAAAAAGGAAAAAGAAAAAAAAGAAAAAAGAATGAAATGATAGACAAGGCACGACGAAATTGGAGAGCGAAGACAAGAGAGCCAAAAGAAAGAAAGAGAAAGAAAGGATGGAAATTAAAAAAAATAAAAAAGAGAGAGAAAGGGAGAGAGAGAAAGATCAAGAGAGAAAAAAAGCACGTAAATGAAAAATTACCTTGAATCTGTCATCTGAAGTGAAAGTCAGTTCGTTGGCGGAGATGACGTGGAGATCCCGCTGTCGAATCCACGAAACCTGGGAACGTGATTTATGCGTTACTGTTCATGGAGAGTGAAAAGACGAGGCGCAATATGGTGGTGAGGATAGAGACGGTGGTAAGGATAGTGGTGGTGAGGATAAGGATGGTGATGAGGATAGAGGCGATGGTGAGGATAAGGATGGTGATGAGGATAGAGGTGATGGTGAGGATAAAGATGGTGATGAGGATAGAGACGATGATAAGGATACTGGTGGTGAGGATAATGGTGGTGAGGATAGTGGTGGTGGTAAGGATAAGGATGGTGATGAGGATAGAGACGATGGTAAGGATAGTGGTGCTGAGGATAATGGTGGTGAGGATAGTGGTGGTGGTAAGGATAAGGATGGTGATGAGGATAGAGACAATGGTGAGGATAGTGGTGGTGAGGATAAGGATGGTGGTGAGAATAAAGATGGTGGTGAGGATAGTTGTGGCGGTGAGGATAGGGAGGGTGGTGAGGACAGTGGTGGTGGTGAGGATAGGGAGGGTGGTGGGGATAGGGAGGATGGTGAGGATAAAGGGGTGGTGAGGATAGTGGTGGTAGTGAGGAGAGGGATGGTGGTGAGGACAGTGGTGGTGATGATGATGATAGGGTGAGGAGAGAGATGGTGGTGAGGATAGTGGTGGTGTTGAGGATAAGGATGGTGGTGAGGATAGGGATCATGGTGAGGATAGTGGTGGTGAGGACAGTGGTGGTAGTGATGATAAGGATTTTGGTGAGGACAGTGGTGGTGGTGATGATAGGGAGGGTAGTGAAGGTAAGGATGGTGGTGAGGATAGTGATAATGGTGAGGATAGTGGTGGTGAGGAAGACAGTTTTGTTGGTGAGGATAGGAATGATAGTCGAAGTGCTGATAGTAATGATATATGCTAATGCGTTGAGGAGGATGTGAATAATCCTAATACTAATGAGGATGATTTAGTATGTATGAAGCATTCGGGCATATCTGCCTTGCCTTTGATAAGATATATGAGCAGAGCCTCATTAAAAAATGCACAAGAAAAAACAACTAAAATGCAACAACAACAAAAGCAAGAACAAACAAATAAATTAATATAATTTCATTTCATCCCGTTGACACATTGTGTCGCATAACTATATATATTTTCAAACTTATTTCTTATTCTTATTGTATCATGAAAACTTCACTGCAAGACCTATCTGCAATAATGTAAAAGCGCTTCTTCTTCAACAACAATAACAAAACAAGAACAAACAAATCAGGAAAAGTTCACTTCTTCACATTATCATAATATATTTCACAACTATGTATATTTTCAAACTTATTTCGTATTCTTATTACATCATTAAAACTTCACTGCAAGCTCTATTTGCAATAATGTAAAACCGCTTCTTTCCAATTTCAAAATGATTTTACCCTTCCCACCACATGCTGCCACGAGTGTTCCATTTTAACTGAATTTAATATCCCACACGTTACACGCTATCAAGAACCTACCCCTCCTCCCCCTCTCCCTCCCTCATCTTCACACCTCCCCTTTAACAACAACATTTGCATATCCTTAGATAAGTCATCAGGCCCCTTCTCTGCCCCACATCCTAATACGTTCTGTGCTTTCCGCAAACACGCTGCTTCGAAAATTTCCTTCATCTCCGCTCGCGAAAAGGATCATCACCCTATACACTCGGTATCTCTCTTTCCCCTTCTGATATATCTTTCACACAAATTTGGTCCCTATTTTATGCCCGCGTGCAATATCACCTGAAATATTTTTTCCCTCGACTAGTTAATCAGTGAAATCTACCGACGGAAAAGGGGGAATATCTGAATGATTTAGTATATTCCCAAGGCTTCGGCTGCTGAACATTTGAATAATTCATTACATATCCCGAAGACTCGGTTTCGCGGGGAGCCATGTGAGGAAGATGATATTTATATTAGACCCTAAACTTAGTTATTTCCCTGTGTTCCGCATAGCAATAGTTACTCGGGCAATTTGCAAACTAAATTGCATTATCTTCAAATAACGCTGGGTTAGTATGTGTGATAAACTCTACGGACCAAGCCAGTCACATTTCACTTACTTTTGCCATCCGAATTCAAACCCGAGACCAAAGAATAAAAGGGACAAAGATTTTCCTTTACAACAAATGCTAGAATATTAAAATAGGTCTCAGGGGATAAAGTTTTTACTTGATAGTACAGGGTTTTTCATCATTACTCTATGTTATATGATGCCCTTGTGTTCTAAAGGCCTAAAACCCACTTTATTACGTAAATAAAAATCCAAATGATTTGTTCTCACAAAAGCCTTTCCGCTTATCCCAATATTAGTGCTCAAAGCAAATATAATTTCCAGGAGCATCCACAATGATGAAGCTATAAGAGTTATTCTAGATTAACACTTATTTACTCTCGTCTCTTTCCTGTTATTGGGCAAATGATAACAGCGTCACAGATCGAAGTATTTGATAGAAGCCGTCATAGTTAGGTACAAACCACTCTCTCGATGGTAATTGGCTAGAAAGTACTCACAAAAGTCGATTGCCAGTAATCAAGGGGTCTCGAGGCAGCCTGCACATCGCAAAGTGGTTATTACTGTCATTCCAGTTCAGTGAGCAACCATAAAGATCGAGGTTTAAAAGACGTTAGAGATAGCAACAAGCTTCTGATATAAAACGTTGTTAATACATTTTGCGGAAAGAAATGATTTAGTAACATGTTTTTCTACAGCGGTTGGAAATATGCGTATTTTAGATATATGTATTTTTTCCGTTAACACTAAAGTTTTACTTTTTCACACTGACGTTAAAGACAAATAGATTATGGATATCAATACATCATACAGAAAATAACAGAAAATCAGAAAACAAATGACAATAGCAAACAGATAATCATATAACTATATATGTATAAAAAACAAACAAACATAATTAAGCCAACCCTTTAAGCAAGGTCGAATCCTCAACTACTTACGGATCGACCGCGTAGTCTGGTAACGACGCAGGGAAGCGAGGCAGGATCCCCCTCCATTACGGTGATGTTGTTGGCCAGCGATTCGTCGAACTCCGGAGGCTTC